TGCAGGCAGGGCTGGAGAAACTGGTTACCAGAGCAGGCCCAGCTGGAGAAGCCAGTCAGCAGTGCAGGCAGGGCTGGAGAAACTGGTTACCAAAGCAGGCCCAGCTGGAGAAGTTTCTCTTCAAGATTACTGGTGGTTATCCTCCAAGCACAAGGAAAAGCTGCTTCAGCAGTCAGAACAGGCCCAGCTGGAGAAGCCAGTCAGCAGTGCAGGTATACTCTATGGACAGACTTCAGAACAGGCCCAGAAGTCATTTATTGACTCCATACATGAACAATTACAATCAGCCACCATTTTTACTAAGTTAGATTTGCGACGAATGGAAGACAGCCTTCCGGACCCCTTTGGGTCATTTCAAATATTTAGTCATGCCGTTTGGTCTCACTAACGCTCCTGCAGTCTTCCAGGCGTTAGTCAATGACGTACTCAGAGACTTTTTAGGGGAGTTCGTTTTTGTATATCTTGATGATATCCTAATCTACTCGCATGACAAGGAGGAACACATCAAGAGGGTCAGAACAGTTCTTCAGCGGCTATATGAGAATCAATTATTTGTCAAAGGCGAGAAGTGTGAGTTCCATACTTCATCCGTTTCTTTTCTGGGGGTTTATATTCGGGGAAGGACATTATCGTACCGACCCTGAGAAAATCAAAGCAGTAGTAGAATGGCCTGTTCCTGAGACCCGTAAACAGCTTCAACGCTTTCTTGGTTTTGCAAACTTCTACAGACGCTTCATTAGAGACTACAGCCGTATTGCCGCACCACTCTCCCAACTTACCTCAGTTAACAGAATGTTCAAATGGACTACAGAAGCAGACACTGCCTTCAAAAGATTGAAACAACTTTTCTCAACCTCACCCATCCTCTGCCATCCTGACCCCGAATACCAGTTCATCCTGGAGGTGGACGCCTCCGACACTGGGGTAGGTGCCGTTCTTTCTCAGAGATCCCCCAGAGACAATAAGGTACACCCCTGTGCCTTCTTTTCTCGGCGTTTGTCCCAAGCCGAGCATAATTACGATGTGGGAAATTGTGAATTACTAGCCGTCAAACTGGCTTTAGAAGAGTGGCATCATTGGTTGGAGGGTACGGAGATCCCCTTCCTCATATGGACCGACCACAAAAACTTGACCTATCTTAGGGACGCTAAAAGATTAACCCCCAGACAGGCTCGGTGGTCCTTATTCTTTAATCGTTTCCATTATATATTGACTTATAGGCCTGGTTCTAAGAATGTCAAGCCGGATGCCCTGTCCCGACAATTCTTTCCCCCAGATGGTCCTGAACTCGAGGAACATATCGTCCCCTCAACATGCATCGTGGGGGCTCTCACATGGCCCATTGAGCAGGAGATCCGCGATGCCCACAAGGAGGAGCCCGACCCTGGCCTGGGACCCCCCGGAACCCTGTTCGTCCCCTCTGTCATGAGGGCTAAGGTACTGGAGTGGGTTCACACTAACAAACTTTCTTGTCACCCAGGAGTTACCCGCATGTTGTCCCTAACTAAGTCCCACTTCTGGTGGCCGACATTGACCCAGGACGTTAAGGACTTTGTTGCTGCCTGTGCCACTTGCACCCACAATAAAACAGGAAATCAACCCCCGGCCGGACTCCTACAACCACTACCCTCACCCAGCCGCCCTTGGTCCCACATATCGGTGGACTTTGTCACTGGACTTCCCCCGTCCGAAAGTAACACAGTCATCTTGACTGTTATTGACCGATTCTCTAAATCGGCTCATTTCATTCCCTCAGTCAAGTTACCTTCTGCTCTCGAGACTGCACAATTATTAATCCAGCATGTTTTCCGAATCCACGGTATCCCCTACGACATTGTTTCTGACCGTGGACCACAGTTTATTTCCCAGGTCTGGCGCTCATTTTGTAAAACCCTAGGGGCATCTGCAAGTCTGACTTCATGTTACCACCCACAGTCTAACGGCCAGGCTGAGAGGTGTAACCAGGAACTTGAGAACACCCTTCGTTGTGTCGTGGAGAGCAATCCCTCAGCCTGGTCTCAACATCTGGTGTGGGTGGAGTATGCCCACAACGCCCACAGATCCACAGCCACAGGTATGTCACCGTTCGAAGCCTCTCTGGGATACCTTCCTCCCTTGTTTCCCAGTCTTGAGACGGACATCACGGTGCCGTCTGTCCAGCACCACTTCCGTCGATGTCGACGCGTTTGGCTGCAAATGAGAGCAGCCCTTCTATGCACCGCAGCTCAGAACAAGAGGTATGCCGACCGACACCGCTCCTCTCCATAGTCTGTTCAAACATAAAATTCTAGAAAAAAATAAAAATCAGTGATAATTAAAAACACTCAACTAACCTAAAAACTTTTGGTTTCAAAATAAACATATGATATATTTGTTAAATCTTCCAGGAAGATCCTGAAGTAATGAGCATGACTGCATATCAAATATCTCCCCGAACAACAAGAGCCATGGCAAGAAGTAAACAGCTCCACACAACTGAAAATCCCATCTTCTGCAATAATGAGTTGGAGAGTTTTCATGAAGAAATGCCAGGAGTAAGCCATTCTACCTTGTGCCCATCTGACACCCTTAATTCAAATATTCCGCCTTCTTTTCAAACCGCAACTCAGACGACTGCCAGTGTGCATCCTACCTCTATCAGCACCGGCTCATTTGCTACAGACTTCAACCCCTCTGACACCAGTGAAGTCTGCCAAGATGAACCTACTGCACATGCAAGCGCCAACTACACAACTTATTTGTCAGTGATGTCAAATGTTTCTGATCTGTCTTCTGATGATGAAGAAATGAATCAAGCCATTTTGGCCAGTATTGAAACTCACTTGTGAGTATCTACTTGATAAGTGGTTTTAGTTCTATTTTTCTGTCATCTTGGTAATTTAGAGTATGATCATTTGAAATTTTAAAAATGTTTGGGATTAAAGTACAATACATTAAATAACCTTGTTGTGGCTTTCCAAACGATTGAACAGTATTTTAAGAGTGACCTGCCTTGTTTTCTTTGTGGGATTTTTTTTGTGTCTACTTTCAGATCTGAAACTTCACCCAGGACCTTGCCTGTGAAAGACATTCTTGAAGAGTTGTCCCAAAAAATTGACACTGGAATGCACTGCAAGTTTAACATAAATCGTTCTAAAGTTTTAGATGGTGCCATGCGTGGATTTAAGAGAGTAACATACAATCCACATTTCTCAATGAACGTTAAATTTTCTGATGATTTCGGAAAAAATGAAGAGGCAGTCGATTTGGGTGGCCCACGGAGAGAATTTCTGCGTATTCTCATTGATGCCTTGGCCATGTCTCCGATGTTTGAAGGTCCAGACAAAAGCAAAAATTTAGCAATGAACAGTACAGGTTTGTTTTGGATTCTTCAGCTTCCATTATTTATTGTCAACATCTGTGGATTCAAATGTATTTCTAGAATTTTATTTTTTTTTTGCCATACAGCCCTCAGGGAGGACAAGTACTTTATGGCTGGAAGGGCAATAGCTTTTAGCCTTGTCCATGGAGGTCCAGCTCCACGTTTCCTTTCTCCGGTCCTTTTCGCGTGCTTGGTTGGAGGTCCAGCTGCAGCTTGCCCTACTTTAAAGGATATAACTGATGCAGACCTCCACGAGAAACTGCAAATGGTTAATCCACCTGAAAATTATATTACTTTTTACTTAAGATTTATAGACTATCATTACGTGTAAGGTTTTTCAAATTTATTTCTGAGTGAAATAAGATTGTGTTGTCCATTTGCCCTTTGTAGGTATCTGAAAGTTCGACTCTGGAGGAGCTTCAAAGAGCCACTGATCCTCTTTTAGACTACATGGCCAGCGCAGGTTGCATCAGACTCTTAACAACCATCAGTGATCGAGATCTTCTCATGCATGATCTGCTAATGTTTCATGTTGTTCACCGAGTCCAGGGCCCTTTTCAAAGGTTTAGTTTGCTCCTTATTTCTTCTACTGCATGAAAACAATTAAGCTCAGTTTATTAGTATGAGACTAGGATTAAATTTGTGGCTAATTTAATTTGGTACAGGTTTGAAGAAGGACTAAAGACACTTGGCGTTTTGGATGTTGTGAAGCAACATCCAGACAGTTTTCGGACTTTGTTCTGCCATGAACCACAGCCATTAACTGCTGACATGATGGATGACCTTTTCACCCCTCGGCTTGCTCCCAAAGGAAGTAACAGGAGAAGAGTGGAAGAGACGGTCATTCCTTTGTGGCGAGATTATCTGCAGGATGCAGAAGGTATTTATCAAATATTCTCTGCTTTACAATTTAAATATTCCCCGTGTTACAATGGACATTATGGCCAGACAGGTAGACTTTTACAGCATGATGATTGGGTGTGTCTCCAAAAATTAATATTCCAGACCTCGTGACTTTTTTCATGTTGCCTTTGAAGTTCTCCTTGAGTGGCCATTGAGCCCATCTTGGTGCAGGACTTGTTTCACTGTGGATAGTGATGCTCTATATTATAAGCGTAGTTGTGACGACTACGCTTGTATGAACTATGAACTTTAAACTGTATGGCAAAATGGTACCAAAATGACAACAAAATTAACAGTGTACGTTTTTCCCACAGATGAGGAAGGATCATCCAAGCTTCAAA